GTTGTTCGTTTCATTATTTGGTTATTCTTCTTTGTTGCGTTATGCTTCGATTAAGGAGTGGTTGTTCTTCATGGTTTTATGGTGTTTGAGTGCCCCAATCCCATGAACCCCTTAGGAATGGTGCTGAGTTTTTGAAAATCTATGGTAGTACGGAACTCCCAAGCCGATTTGGGAGGATGAGGCAATCCCTCAAGTCCATAAGAATTCCTATAGCACTAGTGCTCGTCAAGTGTTCGGTGAAATGCCTCAATGGCATTCCTAGTCCCCTTTGGAGCCCGAGTCTCCGGGATTGGTAATCTAGTGCTATGTAAACGTGTACCACATTAACATCTTAAGTGTGGGGTGGCTCACAGGTAGCCAAAGTGTTGTTGTTTGATTCTAATGTTAAGAAAGTGTGAGGTGAAGTCTGAGTAACCTTGGCAAGTTGGGGGAGCTGCTGTGTGTATTGTGTAATGTAGCATTATCTGACTATTGCTCGTTTGTGTAGGAACGAAGATGCCGCCCATAAAAGACACAGGCGGTTTCTTAAAATCTTATACCAATACCGTATCTAATTAAATTCGGTATGGTTCGGTTTTTCTCCTTTCGATTTCGGTCTATTCGGTTCGGTAACTTCGGTTTATTCGGTTTGAATACTAATTAGTGCATAGAGCCATACACTCTAATATTCTTAAATAAAGTACTCAAAAATATAAAACTGAAAAATGTTTGTTGACAAAAATTTTGTCCAAAACTAGCAAATATCGACCCAAATAGAGAAAATTGTACAAAAAGAATATTTGATCATTAGAAATGTTACTTGTTTAGAGTTAATTGATGAACTTAGAGAATAAAGGAAAGTAAAATTTTAGATTTTTTATATTTATGTTATAATTGATAATATGTGTTTTGTGTAATATAATATATATTTCGGTACGGTATCGGTATTTCGGTATTTTATTTTAAAATACCAAATACCATACCTAATACCTAATATTTTAAAAAACTTAAACCAAATACCATACCAAATACCAAAATACCGTATACCAAATACCAAAATTTTCGGTTTCGGTACGGTAATTCGGTATTTACCAAATTATGCACAGCCCTAGTGGTCAGTTTAGTGGCTTAGTGATCTGTTTATTTGTAAGCCTATATAAAGGCAATTTTTGCTTCAGTTTAATATATCAATAAAGTTAAGAAAAATTCCAGCAAACTTCTTGTACATTGTAGCTTTTCTCCTCAAATTTTCAATCTGTTGCTTACTTTATTCTAACATCTTTGGTCATCTAGAGCCTTGTTACTAGAGAGTGAGTAGAGGAAAACACAAACTTGAGTGATACATTTGAGACAGAGAACAATGGCAAGTAACAGCAGTGCATTGGGTGCGGCACAACCCCTCATTCCTGTCTTCAAGGGAGAAGGCTACGAGTTTTGGAGTATCCGTATGAAAACTCTACTCGAATCTCAAGATCTTTGGGACTTGGTAGAACAAGGGTATGTAGATCCCGACGAAGAAAACAAACTGCGAGACAACAAGAAGAAAGACGCTAAGGCATTGGTGATGATTCAGCAGGCTGTTCATGATAGCGTCTTCTCACGGATCGCAACAGCGACCACATCAAAGCAAGCTTGGTCTATTCTGCAGAAAGAGTTTCAAGGTGATTCAAAGGTCATTGTGGTGAGACTACAGTCACTTCGGCGTGACTTTGAAACCTTGATGATGAAAAGTGGTGAATCTGCTGCTGATTTTTTGTCAAGAGCAATGGCAATTATCAGTCAAATGCGATCCTACAGCGAGAAGGTTACAGATCAGACCATTGTGGAAAAGGTATTGCGAAGCTTAACTCCAAAATTTGATCATGTAGTTGCTGCCATAGAAGAGTCTAAGGATCTGTCAACTTTTTCCTTTGATGAATTAATGGGGTATTTGCAAGCACATGAGGCAAGAATTAATCGATCACTTGAAAAGAATGAAGAAAAAGCTTTTCAAGTGAAAGAGGCAGCCACTAAAAATGTTGACGGCGAATATTCAGTAGGTAGAGGCCGTGGAAGAGGAGGATTTCGTGGTCGCGGTCGTGGTAATGGTAGAGGCAATGGAAGAGGCAGAGGTCGTTTTGACTGGCAACAAAAATCCAATAAACAAAGAAGCAACAAGAGTGGTATTCAATGTAACCACTGTCATAGATATGGGCATATTAAAGCAAATTGTTGGTTCAAAGATCAGAAGATGAACTTTGCAGCAGGGGTAGCAGGGAATGAGGAAGAAGAGAACAAGCTTTTTATGGCTCATATTCACAACGACCATAGGCCAAGTGATTTATGGTTTGTGGACAGTGGTTGTTCAAATCATATGACGGGCGCCAAATCTTTGTTCAAAGAGCTTGATGAGACGCAAAAAATAAAGGTGCAGCTTGGCAACACAAAGGAGATGCGGGTTGAAGGAAAAGGCACGGTGGGTGTCGACACTAGCCATGGCAAAGTAAAAATGCTGGATAACGTTCAATTCGTGCCTGATTTAGGATACAATTTGTTGAGCGTTGGACAACTAATGGCTGGCGGATATTCTCTTTTCTTTGATGACGATGCCTGTGTCATTACAAATAAAAAGTCAGGAAAAAGGGTTCATATTAGCATGACTCCAAATAAGATGTTTCCGTTGGATGTTTCTAATTTGGAGAATTTTGCTCTCGCTGCAAGTACAATGGATGACTCAAAGTTGTGGCATTTGAGATACGGGCATCTCAACATAAAAGGCCTAAAATTACTAAGTGATAAAGGTATGGTTCATGGACTACCTAAAATTAACTCTATTGAATTGTGTGAAGGATGCATTTATGGAAAACAAACTAGAAAGTCTTTTCCTGTTGGAAAGGCTTGGAGGGCTTCAAAGTGTCTTGAATTAATACATGCTGATTTATGTGGACCCATGCATACTACATCTTTTGGTGGGAGTCGTTATTTTCTACTTTTTACTGACGATTGTAGTCGCATGAGTTGGGTTTATTTTTTGGAAAACAAATCAGAGACATTTCAGAAATTCAAACACTTCAAAGCCAAAGTTGAGAAGCAAGTGATCTGTTCATCAAAGCTCTTCGCACTGATAGAGGCGGTGAATTCTTGTCCGCTGAATTTAATCTTTTTTGTGAAGAAAATGGAATTCACAGGGAGTTGACAACACCTTATACTCCGGAGCAAAATGGTGTCGCTGAGCGTAAGAATTGCACTGTTGTGGAGATGGCAAGAAGCATGTTACAAGCGAAGGGACTTCCAAATCAATTTTGGGCTGAAGCTGTGGCAACATCAGTCTACTTATTAAATCTTTGTCCCACAAAGGCTATCATGAATCAAACTCCATATGAAGCTTGGCATGGTACAAAACCATCTGTAAGCTACTTAAGAATTTTTGGATGCATTGCTTATGCTTTGGTAAATTCTCAATTTCGTCATAAGCTAAGGCTGTATGTGGTCCCGGGCCCGGGCCTAAATGGGCTAAACGGGCCTGGGCTTAGCGGTCCCGGGCTTCGTGGTCTCAATGGGTAGGACCAGCCCGTGACGGGCCTAAGCCCATATGGTCCTGGGCTAAATGGGTCGGGCTCGTGGGCTTAGCGGGCCTAACGGGCTTTTTTTATTTCCGGGCTTTTTTTTAAATTTTTTTTTATTTAGGGCAATTTCTTGTAAACCATATGTGTATGTATATATATAAATTGCTCTTATGCATGGCTATATAAATATATGTGGTATATATAATATAGAAATCTAATTATTAAAGTGTTTGACGAAAATGTAAAATAACAAATCAATAGTAAAACTAAATTGGCATGCATAATAAA